CGGCCTCCGAACCTCGCTGCTTCCCCGAGAAATTCATGTTTGGCTCAGCCACCGCCTCGTATCAAGTGGAGGGCGCCGTCAAGGAAGGTGGCCGCACTTCCAGTATTTGGGACGATTTCTGCCGTGAAAAACCCGGTATGAAATGTGCCAACGTGGCTGACGATTTCTACCACCGCTACAAGGACGACGTGAAGCTCATGGTCGAGACTGGCCTCGAATCTTTCCGCTTTTCGATCTCGTGGTCGCGTGCCATGAACTGGGACCCCGTCACGCGTCGCATGAAGCCCAACGCTGAAGGTATCGCCTGGTACCACAGCCTCATCGACGAGCTCAATGCTAACGGCATCGTGCCGATCCTGACCATTTACCACTGGGATCTACCAAGCGAGTTGCAGACGCAACTCGAGCCCAAGGGTTGGCTCAACCCAGGAATCGTTGACCACTTCCTCGATTACTCGATTCTGCTCTTCAACGAGTACGGCAGTAAGGTTCAGCTCTGGACGACGTTCAACGAGCCTTGGTCCTTCGTTGGTTTAGGCTACGCTCTCGGCTGGCATGCTCCCGGCTACTCTGGCTCGGACACGCAGGCGTACACGGCCTCTCGTAACGTGCTTATTTCCCACGCCAAGGCGGTGCAGAAGTTCCGTGAAATGAAGACTAGCAACGTTATTGGAGACAAGGCACGCATCGGTATTGTGTTGGTGGCCAACTGGTACTACCCCTTGGACCCGAATAATGAACGCGACGTTGCTGCTTCCAAGCGTGCGTTCGACTTTGACTTCGGCTGGTTCCTGAACCCTATTGTGAACGGCGACTACCCGGCGGTCATGCGCGAGCGCGCCGGCGACCGTCTCCCCAAGTTCACGGCGGAGGAATCTGCTCTGCTTAAGGGATCGTACGATATCTTCATGATGAACCACTATGGCTCGCGCGCCGTCACGGACTGCGACTCGGACCGCTCGAACACTCCGTGCTCGACTCTGCTGCCTGGTTACCAGGCGGACAAGGGCATCGACGACAGCCACGTCATGCCTGGCACGCGCGCCGGCGTCCCGGACCGCTTCGGTAACAACTACTGCAAAATGTTCACCGGCTACCCACCCGGATACCTAGACATGATCCGCTATCTGCACATGCAAGACACCAGTGTGGATATCCTGCTGACGGAGAACGGATGGTGTGGAAACGATGATGTTGACAATTACGACCAGTTGTGGTACTTCAAGGCGTTCGTCGAGCAGGTGCACAAGGCCGTCGTGGAGGAGAAGATCCCTGTCATCGGCTACACGGCGTGGTCGTTCCTCGACAACTACGAGTGGGGCTCGTACAACCCGCGCTTCGGCATGTACTACGTCAATTTCACGGAGCAGACTGGATCTCCGGACTTCTACGAGCCCAAGCCTACAGACCTGGCTCGCAGCCCTCGTCCATCGGCTAAGTGGTTTAAGAAGGTGTCCGAGACCAAATGCCTCGACAGCTGGAGTGAGTTTAGCATCATGAAGGCTCATGCAACGTTGAACGCCAGCGAGACGTCCAACTTCAGTTTCGTGTTCGGGTCAGCTGCACTTGCTGTGATTGCGATCGGAGTTGCCGTGGTTGTCGTGTACTGTCGCCGCCGCAGTGGCTACAAGCCGCTCTTGTCGCCCAACTAGGTTATCTCGATACACGCTTGCCAAGGGCGTATGCCAAGTTTCCATTGTTAGGCATGACACCCTACCTCAAAAATAAAAAGCTTGTTGCTGTCACACAGGATTATTGTTAAAACCTTGAGTGCTGTCGTGTAATTAGACATTCAGAAGTAAAGCCAAATACGCATACTGTTTCTTACTTAAATGGTTAATGACGGTTCTAGTATACCGTAATACCCCTTTCGTGAACGGACACTTTTGACCTGGCTTTATTATACTTTATAAGACCAAGTTATTAGGCCGTCAAAGGGGACATTTTGCCCCCTTTCGTAAACTACGGTACTATAGCATATCTTCTGCAAATCCTTGTAGTTCAAGTAGAAAGGGCGATTCTGCCTCGTCCACACACAAAATTTAATGAAAGGGGGCAGTTTGCCCCCTTTCATGGGTGACACGAGTGGTACTCGAGGATACACCCTCAAAAGGGGGCATGTTGTACTGGCGAGATAAAATGATACACCAAACTTACGTATGTGCTCATTTTTTAAAAGTACTACTCAGATATGTGCTGGAAGACCCTCATTGAAAGTAGCGTAGCGTGGAGATCTCAAACACGTCTTCTGCCTTGCCCATTTAAAGTCTTTTTGAAAAGATGAAGCAAATACGACAACGAAAAAAAAATGTGCTCATCACACGTGCACAGCACGTTTTTAGAGATATCTCATGAACGACACAGCCAACAATAACGAGCTGAATGCGTGATAGTAGCTCGCCGTATTGTGCTTCTGATAGGCATGGTTCCGCCTGTATGGGCAGCGTGAGAAGGACTGCAAGTCAAGTTGATACCGGGGCGAGAGCGTTCGCTCAGCTCGATAAAATATGCGTAAAAATGTGCAGAAAGGGATCCAAAATCCTTAATACTAAAGCTTGTAAGGATTTCTCACAATCTGCCACGATAGTTTTGGCGGGTTTCGTTTTCTTTTAAGTATAGTACTGAAATGACTGCGAGTTAAGCAGTGATACAGCGCTTACTTAAAAGAGGAAACGCGGGTCTTTCAAATAAAATAAAACTTACTTCAATTGGGTATTAGGTAAAAAGTTATAGGTGCGCAAAAGTAGTATTTTTTTCATCTCGCCAGTACAATTCTACATTACTGTTTGATTAGTTTGATCGGTAATGTAGTAGGTCGACCTATCGAGTGGACTACGAGACCGTGCAGGGACAGCAAGGTGAAGTCGTCGACTTGACAGACGACGTTAGCGTGGACGACACTAACTAGTTCGGTGACTGCGAGTGTTCTGGATG